ACCTATCCTTACGTTCAAAAATATTTTTAATACCTGCAGTCTTACACGTGTACATACTACCATTGAAAAAACCGCAGAATTATCATCGTGCCCTCTCCGAGATTCGGACTAGGAGAGTATCAAAGGCATTTATTTTTTATTTACGTCAAAAACCGTTAAAAACTACGATTGACGTGCTACGAGAAGAAGGCCAAACATGCGGGACTTAATTTGAAGTTACATGTACGTCCAGAAGTAAAACAAGGGGCCATCTCAGCATATGCTCAAGGATCAGGGAAACAAAACGAAAACCTGATCGAGATGGGAGTCATTGACTCAGAAGCTGAAGTACAATAATTGTTACACGTGGTTAAATATTATCCAGTTAAAATGGCAAATATTGCATTACATATCACTCTTAAAATGAATATTACTTTCCTTCTGGATGCTCGTTAGTCTCAAATTGTATAGAAACAGTTGTGCAGTAGAAAAGATTTTTCTTGGGACTATTAATGTCATGTGGCAAAGTGTTGTAAAATAATGTACATGTATTGTATGTGAATATTTTGTAGTGAGATGTTGATACTGGCACAAGGATTGAAAATGCTTATGCATTTTGTTGTTTGTAAAATGAAACATCATATACATTTATTTTTAAATTTTATTATTCGAAATTAAAACATCGCCTAAAATCCATCTGGTTTAGGAATCTCTAACATATTCACAGGAGGAATAATGTGTGTCCTTGGCGATTGCCTTTCTTGGAAATCTATTTCCTCCTTGAATTTTCCTACTAGCGCCTCTTGATTAAATGTTCCTTACATATTTAAGGATATTGTAAGCTTTCTTTCTTCTATTCAGTGATATTTTCTGTCTACATTTAGCTCTTACAAGGAAATGATCTGAGTCATGGTCTCATTTTCTCGATGCTCTAACACCCAAAATGTTACTTTTATGGCTGGAATTGATCATTATATGGTTTATTTGTGTATGTTTTTTGTGGTGTTATCCAAGTCCACTTATGTATTTCTTTGTGGGTATAGTGTATTACTAATGTCCATATTATTTAACTCTGCAAATCCCACTGCTCTTTCTCCATTATCATTATTCTCCTCATGAAGACCATAATGCCCTAAATTTGGCACATAAGTTCTATCCGTTCCCAGTTGGGCATATATATCTCCTAGTGCTAACTTCACATGAAATTTAGGAGTTGCCGGTATTCTATGCAGACTATGCAAAGGAACACTTTGTTATCATCTTTGTAATCCGTTGGGGCATGTAAGTTAATAAATGTAATGTAACATGCCTTTCCTCTAATTCATAGCTTGAATTATTTATTTATCAAACAGGCAATGCAGAATAATTACACACACCAACAAAAAACAAAAATCTCACTACAATCATCTCTTCAAAACCACACAATGCACACTATCTCATCACACCATTGCAAATAAAAAACAGAATGTACTATAACACTTAAAATTATGACAACCCTTATTTACAAATTATAATCACAAATATACAAAATAAAAATTTTACAAAGTCAATATCATTCTTTTATGTAATTTTTTTAAAGCTCTTTTTGGCAGAGCAAAATCAATATTAGTGTTATTTGCTATCCTACACATTCTGTTAATTGGAGCATTAAAAAACAAATAGTTCTAGCAAATGGCCTTGCACTTGCTCTTCTTGATTATTTCCAGTGCTTCTTGGATCAAACCTTGGATAGTAATGTAGGGCAATCAACATTATTAAAAAGGAGATTATAAATAACTAAAAAACAATTGAATCATGATAAGAGGAGAAAGAAATAATATTTAATAAATTTGCAACCTGTATATAATCATGGAATAGCTTCAACAATGGCAATCTGAACTTACACGTAACAAAATTAAAGAACTTATGCTGGATGAACTCTTAAGATTTTTATTTAAATTTTATAAGAGTGTCCATACTGTAGAAGCATATTATAAGAGTAGGTCTAATTAACAATAGATATAATATTTTAAGGGTTTCAGTATTTGTAAACTCCGTGGTCATCCTCATCATGAACCAAATCATGCGATATGCTTTGACGAGATTGAATTAATTAATGCCCATCCAGTACTATTCATAATGAACAATATTACTCCAAGAGTATCTCATCACTTTGCATTTGTTATAATTTAAATATAGTCCATTATTCACACACCACAAAACAAGAGAATCCTAGCTTAACTAAAGAGCAACACAATCATTAAGACTTTTAACTTTTGTTTACAATTTTAAGTTGTCAGTGAAGAACAAAAATAATATAGTGGAGAAACAATTCTTAATCATTAATAAACAGCAGAAAATGTAAGGATCTCAGATGGAATTCCTGAGGCACCTGTGGATGTTGCGTATATATCCCTTAAAACAAAAGATTTTTTAATTTTTTTGTATCATGTCTCTCAAATAGCTACTGATCAACTTCAAGAATCAAATGCTTTAGCAAAATACAATATCAACCTGGGACATTTCTTCTAATTTCTCCATTTTATATTGCTGTAATGTTAACAGATTTGTAGTCGTTGGGCTTTTCAACCTAAGACCATGCTGCTCATCAATCAATACTGGGCCTACCTGCTTCGTCAGCTTCTCAGTGACAATAGCTTCTAACAGTTTCGGTATAACACACATTTTACATACAGGTCTATAATTTATAATCGTGCTCTATTCCCAGATTTGAATATTGGAGTAACATATCTATTTCCACAGTTGTGGGACAAATGCCTTCCTGTATGGATTTATTAAAAATAACTTGTAATACTGGTACTAGGAAAATGTTGCAATTTACCAAAAAATCTGGAGGAATGCCATACAGTACTGGTCCATTTTCATATTCAATATCTAGATTGCCATATATACATAATATTGGCTAATACACTAATTTAAAAAAAGTCAGCGTATATATGGATCCCTTTCATGCCGATTATCAGTCTTTTTATTATTAAAAAACATCAAATTCGGTAATCCTTTTGTATTCCTCAAAACATTTGTAAATTTCCAAAATTATTTAACATTCTTTATTTGGTTTTAACTCACATTAATGTAGTTCATATAACCTTTTCTAGATTTTCTTTTGCATAACTTTCTAATATTAGAAAACTAATCCAAAACATTAAAACTGTTTTTAAATTTCACATATGCATAATATTTCAATTTAAGTAATTTAATCAAATTCATGGAATACAAAGGTGAATATGTAGATTTCGGTATGATGTATCAAGGGGTTTGTGTAGGGGTTTCTCCCATGAACATCAAGAAGATCAAGAATTTTCTGATGATTAATGCATAACTCTAGTGGGTATGCCATACAAATTGTAAACCAATTATATGATATCAAATCATGATTAATTACCTCATATTCAACTCTAGAAAAGTTATATTTAGTTTCACTTTCATCGATAGTTTGCATATGTTCACCACTGGGTAAACCAGATTTCAAGGGCCGGATGATAACCATCACAATTTACTAATGGACAATCAACTTTACATATCCTTTCCAAATTGTCCAAAAAATCTGATCTAAACTCCTATTACCTTTATCCAAAATACAGTTTAATTGATAAAGATTCAAGTAATTAATGGTGTTTGAAAGTAATGTTCTTGATTGAATTTCAATATTAGAAGCATCATTGAAAAAAAAACAAACCAAAAGTTCCTGTTGCTGTATTCAGCCGAGATGTTTTAAGTAAATTACAATCGGTGATTACAAACAATAGTGATGAGGGATAAGTTCCAAACATCCGTTATATCATTTATAAATAATGATTAAAAATCCACAATAGTTCCTTGTAATTCTTTCTTAATACTGAATCCCAGTCTCCTTCACTACTTGCATTAGTTGCACTACCAATACAAATAATATACCCCCCCTAATTCTTTTATACCTTCTTTCTTCAATTTCATTTCTTGCAATGCTAATATATCTACTCTACTTTACTTCAAGGCTTCGAAAAGATTAATTAAGCTCCACTCCTGTTCAAAGATACTACATTCCAGGTACCAAAATATAAATCATGTTTTGTTTCAATTACAGTAAGGGTTATTAGCCCTATAGCCACCTCCAATGTGGGTGACCAGGATTTGTGTAAGGGTTTCTTCCATAGACATATTGGTTTCACTACACCGTCCAAAACACGCTCCCACTCACACTCGCATACACGCTCACATACACGCTCACACACACGCTCGCACTCACGCTCTCTCTCGCTTTCACTCACTGACTCGCTCTCTCTCGCTTTCACTCACTGTCTCTCTCTCGCTTTCACTCGCTGGCTCTCTCTCTCGCTTTCACTCGCTGGCTCTCTCTCTCTCTCTCTCGCTTTCACTCGCTTTCACTCGCTGGCTCGCTTTCGCTCGCTCGCTGTCACTCGCGTTCACTCGCTCGCACATTTGCAATCCGCCACTTGCAACCCTCCCTCTAGCTGAGGCTTTTCCTGGGAGATCAATTATCTTACATTACCTTATTACAATGAGCTAATAGTATAAAATTATCAATTTTTCCTAGAGGTTAACTCAAGTCCTTTTCCCGTTAGAATCCATTGAAAGATTATAATGGGTTAAATAAATTGTTGAAGTATTTCATATTGTATTGTTTGATTCTTAGTTGTGAATAAATATGCCACAATAACTTCAAAGGATAAGTAAACAGATGACACGGTACTTGTGTGCTAGTGTATTGAAAATCTGGATCTACCAGATTTGAATACTTACCTCTCTCAATGTATTGTAAGAATAAATAACCCAGAATGACTAAGTACCAGTGATAGCAATTTTAAATCATTGAAAGAGTCTCTAAAAAAACATTTACTGGAGCAGAGTAAAGTGATTTGGCATTCTACTGAAGGTGTAGTAATGGCTTTGGTCAAGATTTGTATTCATGTAGATTAGTATTACTGATGAATTCATTAGATTTGAATAGTGCAAGGATTTTGCCTTTTACTAAATTCTTTGGTAATATACAATTCCTTATTAACGATATTGTATTCCAGATCACTGGGTCATCTTGCCAGCAATGTGGCAGTTTGTGTGGGTGATAAGCTCAAAGTGTATTATGGACCTACACATGAATCAAAGGTCACATATGAAGCAAAGGTAAGTGCACAGGCATTGGCTTAATGTACCATTGTACATATTGCGTTTAGCATGTGGGGAGTGGTGCCCAAGGGGCATGTGATGGGTAGCCTTTTTCCAAGAAGGGCTGGATTTTGGCGTGCACATTGTCACATTATCACCTGTGGTTTCAGGATTTAGTCTTGAGCTTGCCCTCAGATCTTTCTTTGGTCAGGAGCATGCTCTTGAATGTGGGATATTGGTTAATGTCTGCTTGGTTTCAATTTTCTGGCTACTATCGCATTAAATACATGATGCCCCACTCATGTACATGTACTAGCACTCATTTGTACTGGCACGCAAAGGTATGGTAACATATGTCTAACATTTATGCACTTATGATTAGAAGTTTCTAAACTTAGGTGCTGGGGTTCTATTTTTATGATGGTGAAAAATTTCATGTTAATGTCTACTGGAATATTGGCACTTACACATTTCACAACATACACTATAAAGAAAGTTAAATAAGTGGAATCTTGAGTGTCATAGCTCAAGCTGTTTATCAGTTCTCTTCTCTACATTTTCATGTCTGCTTCACCAAGTGTAACAGTACTGTAAAGAACCAATTAGTAGCTGCTTCTTTGATTCTTCTAGCACAAAATTGCACTGTTATCTTCCTGTAGTGTATGGGTTATAGATAACACACATGCTTAATTTCCCTGTGCTGACATCACACCTTGTCTGGAAGCGAAATTGGGTCTAGAGCAGTGTGTTCTATGGCAGTCATGTTAGAAATGTGTAAAGAGCCTCCAGTTGTTCCTATTTTCTCCTACATTCCCATTCTGCTTGTCACTGCACTATTTCTGTTCCATGTCATATCCTGTTTCATGTACTTAGGGTGTTGTCTATGAATGTTGAAATCATCTGTGCACCGTTACCATTTTTTGGAAATAGAACTGCGTTGTCTTCTGTGTGCGTACCTATCTTTCTTGCTATGCCTGGTGTCCAGGTTGTCTGCACTGTTCTCTTGCCTTCTGTTTGCTCTTACTAGGTGCTGGTTGTCTTAAGTCAATTGTTTTGCTTGCTTGCAATGCTTGTGCACTGGACCTTCAAGAAGGTTTTCAATTAACCAAACACAAGTATATGCCATTGCATGTCATCTTGTTATGGAACTGCTGAAGAATTCTTATTCATTGTGCAGGAATATTAATTAAAGTTTTACTTTGTTTTGTTATACACTGGTTTGAAGTGTCATGGATGAGAGTTGTGAATGGAGGGTTCGTGTGGCCTGCACATCTTTTTCTCTTTCTCTAAATGCTATATCCAGCAGGTCATGCAATTCTCCCAAATTTGAAAACAGTATTGCCCATGATGCCTTGCGAGTTAACAAAATCAAAGTGATTATAGCATTGTTCTTGCAGTTTTACCTAGTAGTGCAATTCATTTTATTCATCAAACCGGATGCTTAAGAATGAAGATGCACAAGCAAAACTTGCTCCAGCTGTTGTCTTTTCTTCTTTATGGTCTCCAATAATTCAAAAGCTGATCATGTAGAAGATACATTGGCAAACATGTTTTTATCTTCAATTGCAACCAAATGTCTGACATTTTTGTTTTATATATTTTATGTACCAGGTGTGCAGATATCAAGATTTTTGATCTGCCACCTTTCTTCATCCCTTTGCTTATGTTGCTTCTACAGTCATTTCATTTGTCTAGACGGTCGTATACAGTGCAAGATCAGTGGAAACACAAAAAAAAAATTGTTCTGTAATAATTAGGAAGATCAGTGGATGTTGATGAATGCAATGAACATAGCACTAGTTGACTTTCCCTGGGTTAGTAAGTATTTGCAGAAGCTAAAACACTTTATACGGGGTGGATTAATGGTCTGTGGTGGTGGTGGCTGCAGCATTGACACCAGTGACTGATGTTGTGTGACGTATATGGCTTCAGGCCCAAAAAGTAATGTTTAAGTGATAGGAGTAATAATGAAAATTGTCCTCGGAGATAGTCATGTTGAAACATCAGTAACTGGCATGTCTTGCTTGAAAAAACAACCAAACCAAACCCAAAGAAGACACATAAATTTGTTTCATGGCTGGTGGATACAACATTTTTTTTAATTTGGCTCTGTCCTCATGACGAAAGCACTCCACTTGACCAGCTATCTGTTGTTGGTTGTAGGTGCTAGATATCGAAGAGGATGGTAGCGAATGCATGTATCTGGTGCATTACACGGGCTGGAACACTCGGTACGACGAGTGGATCAAGCGTGGGAGAATTGCAGACAATCTGAGCTGGACGCCTTCTAGAGCCAAACGCCAGAGGCAACAGCAGTCTCAGCACAAGGTAACCGGGCCTCCCATCCCTTACACTTGCCCACCCGCCTGCTCGCCTGCCCGCCGCACCAGACACAGCCTGTGTGTGCTTCATTTTTCATTTCTCTGTCTGCTATTCAATATATTTTTGTTTTGTTTTGTACATTTGACAAACAATGCTTGTGTAGCTTTCTGGAGTGCAACATGTGTTGCAGTGGTGAGTTTGAATATGAACATTCATATGAGCAGGTGTATATGTATGTGTGTGTGTATATGTTTTATATCCCTTGCATGATTCTATCTGTGTAATTAACAAAACTCTTATGTTTATATATTCCGTTCATTAGAAATGTCCAAGGTTTGGTCTTGTATAATTTTAACACATTTCAGAGAATATGGCAAATGGACTTCATTATAAATAAAATTGCTAAACTTTGCAGACATTGCGGCCATCTCATGGGAAACGTGGAAGGCCTTCAGTCTCAAATCGAGGACATGATGGAATGCCTAATCCTCCACGATCTACCACACCCTCTTCAGTAACATCGTCTTCTAGTCGTACAAAATCGCCTGCAACACGCTCTACCCCTCGAACTGGGCGCAGTGCTGGTGATAATGCATCACCAGGCCACGAGTTCAGACGTCGAACACGAAGAATGTCAGGACACACAGGTGTGTGTTTGTCCATGTGGCTTTGTACTTGTATGAGGAAGCAAAACTGAAGATGAATTTTTTGTTTGTACATAGTTGACATATACAATACAATTTTGTCCCAGTTTATTTTCAAAAGTACAATGAATAGATATGACTAGTGTTTTTCTTATTACATTTCATTACATTGCATTGCATGTAATTTAAAGATAACTGGGACTACCAAGATTGAGATGATTGAGAATTTTGATTTGAAATTAAATCTGATTTTGGAATGCTGATTAAATTATTACTGCTGTTTTTCTCTGTCACATCCGGATTTGTCTTAATGGGGAAAGGCATGTTAATTATTTCATATCATGCTTGAAGCATTTGCTAGCAAAAGAAAAATTACGTAGCTTTGGAACTTGTAACTAAAAATTCATCAGAATTCTTAGATACGTTTTCATTATAGTGTTATATTTGTGAACACTGCGGTAAATAATTTCTTTAGTTTAAGTTCCCTTGTGAAACCTGAGCACAATTATCAATGAAAAATATAATTTGTTAGTTCCACATTGGACTACCAAAGGGATTTTTATCATAAACAATGAGTGTAAAAAGTATTCATACACCAATGCATTTAAACAATTATTGTAATTATTATGCAGTAATTAACTTATAATCAATAGATATTTCCATCATTGTATTAAACTTAAGTGTACACAAAAGTTAATACCAAAAACAGCAGGAAAACCTGTGTACAAAGCAGATAGAACTGTTGAAACTTCTGAAAAATGAAATCTCAAGACCAAAAAGTATTCATACAGCCAGGACAATGATAACGATTTTAGCTCCCCTGCACCTGAACCATGGTAAATTTGTGATGCTAGAAACGGTATACAACACTGTCCGTGCGGAAGGTATAATGGATACTCGACAGGCATCTGTGTATTTTGTGGGGGGGGGAGGAAAAGAAATGGGTCATAAATGTAAAAAAAAATCTTTGGAAGAGAGACAAATTATCATCAGGTTGCATAATCAATTCAAATCATTGAAGGAAATTTCTCAGATTTTAGTCAGACCCAGGAATACCACTCTGGGTGGCATTGATAGGTTTTGTGTAAGGAAAACATTGAAAAATGTGGACTTCTAAAGAAATTTGAGTGAGCAGATGGTCGTGCAATTCTATAATAAGTGAAGCAAATTCCACGATTACATGCACCTAAAATAGCAAGCTAACTTGAATATGAATTGCTGATAAATGTATTCAAGAGCACTGAGCAAATTATTTTGAGGCAAAGTACCATGAATAGCTAGAAGAAAATATTTGGTGAATGAAATCAATAGAAGGAAAAGGTTAGAGTCCACAAAAAAAGATATAAATAAAACAAGAGAGTTTTAGAAAAATGTATTATTTTCCAAAACTGCTTATAAATAACCATGTTTTTCCAAACTCTCTGATTTCATTTATACTATTTACAACTTATTACCTTTTCCTTCTATTGACTTCATTCGCATATTATTTTCTTCTAGCTACTCATCAATGATAGTCACTTTCCTTCAAAAAATTTCACTCAGTACTCTCTCAAACATTTATCTGCAATTCATTATCAAGTTAACTTGCTATTTTTGGCACTTTAAATCATGGATTTTTCTTCACTTTCCGTAGAATTGCACAACCATCTGCTCCACAAAGTTTCTTTGGACTCCTCACATAAATGTTTACTACATTTTTATTGCTTCTTCATAAGTTGTAATAATATTTCTGGACTTGATTCCATTTTCAGATAAGTTATGTTAAAATTGTGAATATTTCATTTGGTACTAAATGAAAGTAATTGAAAACAAATAAACATGCAAACAATATAATACAATTAACAAATGTAGCGCAAAATAAAAGTCAAAGAACCACCCAAAATTAGCTTTACATTCCAGATTCTAAAAAGACTCAAATAATTTAGAATTTTACGAAAAGAAACCAATATAATTGCTTGTAATTAGAGGCTGGAATTTTAGGGGAAACTGTTTGTAATTAAGGTGCAAAAAATATTAAAAATAGGTACAAGTTTAGGTGCAAGAAATAAAAAAATAGGTATAAAGATATTACATGATTTTATGCCATAACATGACCACTCCACACGAAAAATATATTGTGCCTAATCTGAATTTCTTTCGCATTTTTTAATAGATAACAATGAAACAGTGGCAATTTAATGATGATTTCAGTACTTTATACTTCCCATGTTTTCCATATTGCAATGTTGCCAAACACGTGAGGCAAGATATTTTTCATCTACTGCTACTTCACAGCCGCAACCGTCACACCCAAGTTATGGTCTGATATACAGAAGTGTCCGATTGAATGACATCTTCTATGTACTGCTTAAGTATTTCATTCACTTTACACCTTAACTTATACTCGTTTCTAGAACTTTCAATAACTTCATACAAAAACTACAATGAACACTGCCAATAGTGCAAACATCTGTCTGATTCTGAGGGGAGTTCAGCGAAGATTCCCTGATTTTGGGTGAAGGGTGAGGGGAGGGGGAACGCGAGAGAGTGATGGACTGTAGAATTTGTTTGAAATGATTTTGAGTTACTGGTGGGCGGTAGTAGATGCGATCAAGTTCTTACTTGAAGGAGCGGTTGAGAAAACATCAGATTTGCCATCAGAAGTACACAAATGGTAGATGTAAAATAGAAACATTTTAAATATATCTGAACTCAACTGTCCTTTCAAAACACTTCTGGTATTGGCGAGATATGCGGTAAAAGAAGACCTTTGTCTTAACTGCAATAACTGGTAATGAACAACAATGGGTCTCCTAACTTTTGTTCTTCTGAGATTAAAAAGATAGAGGTTATTTTGAAGCAAAATGTAGAAAATGAAAGTGCATGGCTTACACAAACATTGTTTTAACTTTAAACAGTGTTCGTTCATATAATGTGCACATTCAAAATAATTATTTTTGTGGGAAAAGATTAGGAGATAGGCGGAAAATAGAGGCAGATGGTCTATTTAGGTGCAGTGAGGTGATTTAGCTCAAAGGAATGTTTCCGAAGTGCTTGCAATTGGGTTAAATCATGTGTTAAAAATAAAAAAAATCACTGTTTCTAATGCACTTTGTAGGTGCATCACCTAAAAATCTAGTCCTTAGTTATAATGATTGTTGTAATATTTTGTCCATTATTTGACGCAAGGGCAAATCCAATCCCAAAAATTGGGGGGGGGGGAGAATCATATTCTTTTGTTCACAAATAACAAATACATGTATTAAAAAATATACATATTTGTCATATAGTTTTTGTAGCAAGTATATAGTATTATTCATTATTGTTCCAAAACTACATAATTCTAACTTCTGATTAAATATTTAAATCAATATTGACAAATAAAAGTATGTGACACAAAACTAAGCTTTGGGGGGGGGGGTAGCATGGCTCCCATTCCCTCCCCAAGATGTGCCACTGATTTTAGGCTGTACAGTGGAAAGAAAACCAAATCCAAGTTCTATTAATAATCCCAACTGTGAGGTAGTTACATTTCGACTTGGAAAGTTAGGTTCCATTGGCAAACCAATTAAATTATAGGAGAAGGGGTAGAAATCAATTTTCAATTAAGAGAGAAAAATAAGATATACTGATCAAACTTTAAGAATCTAATTAGGTTAGAGAAATATATATTATCATAAATATTAGTGAATAAATTATTTTCATTGTGATCATGGCGTTACAGCTTTTAACTTATAAACTTTATGAAATTGTTAGTAGGACTTATGTGCCTTCTTATCAAGATTGGAAACATTTTGAAAAATGAGTTTTGTGTCCAAAGTTAAACCTTTGTTATGAGATAGGATTTTGTTTTGAGGGAGATTCCTTAACATGTTCAGGTCGTATCCTCAGCCCATCTTTTATACACCACATGTCATAAGTTTTTGGGGTATGTTTGAAGGGTCATATCTTCTAAACCAATAAATATAAAAGCAAGATTCTTTTTTTAATTTGAAGCAACAAACTTGTTTTTTATATAAACTTTTATGTTTACATTAATAGTCTTAGAGATTATTTAAAATAATGAACACAAAAAATTGAGTTCAAAAAAGGGTTCAATGTGTTTATTTTAATTAGATTTTTATAAACTCGGTTAATATTAGAACATTACACATAATATTATGTTAGAATCTATTGCAATAATGAAGAAAACTTCAAGTTTTATTCATAATAATTACCTTTGGTGTGGTAATTTTAAATAGTGCTCTTTAGGTGTCACTGCATTGGGCATGCTCATCAGTGTATATCAGAGCTATTTATTATGAATTAAATGGCAGCAAATGATATCTATCTGTGTTTCGGTAGTTTATTGATGTAGGAATCTTCAAGAATAGTCGGCGAAGAGGAAAATGGCATTTATAATAAAATATACAATATGATTCGCACACCCATAGATTCTATGTGTATCGTAATTTAAGGCGACATGTCGATGCCCATAGATTCTTCGAGCAGTTACTTGAGTGTGTTAATATTGTTCACATGTTCTTTTAATCCAAACTTTTTTTTGACCTAATATCAATTGAAGTTTTCTCCTCACTTCTTCTTCTCTTCTTCTTTCTTCTTCTCTTCTTCTTCTTCTTCTTCTTACTTCTTCTTCTTTTTTTCTTCTTTTTCTTTCTTCTTCTTCTTTTTATTTTTTCTTCTTCTTTTTCTTCTTCTTCTTTTTCCTTCTTCTTCTTCTCCTACTCCTACTTACCTTCTTCTTCTTCTATCCTACTACTACCTACTTCTTCTTCTTCTCCTACTCCTAACATTCCTCTTCTTCTCCTACTCCTACTCTCCTTCCTTCTTCTCCTACTCTACTTCTTCTTCTTCCCTACTCCTACTTCTTTCTTCTTCTCCCTCACTACTTCTTCTTCTTCTTCTCCTAAACTTCTTTCTTCTTCTTCTTTCTACTACTTCTTCTTACCTTCTCTCTCCTAACTTTTCTTCTCTCCTATTCTTTCTCTTTCTCATGCTAACTTCTTTCTTTCTTCTTCTCGGACTAATTTCTTCTTTTTACTTTTCTCTTCTTCTTCTCCTCCCTTCTTCTTCTCGCCTACTT